TATTTTTAAAACACTATTGTTCTCACCTTGGGCTAGATTTTCCCCAGGACAGAGAACTGGCTCCCATTGGAAGCTATCAGGGCACACAGGGGGGTTAATACACACTCCATGCAGCAACTACAGATTTATCAATTACTCCTTCATCTGTTTAGCTATGGGCTGATTTCTTTGACTTTCAAAAACCAAAAGGAACACAAGTAGTCCTCAAGGGCAGAGATACACAAACAGCTTTCCAAGTTTGTTCTAAGATTCAAGTGAGCTAACTCAAAATGTCAATCCAAAATTCTCTTCCCAAAATGGTTCTGGAATTAGAAAGGAGAGGAAGGAGCTTTGGTTTTCTGAAACTTTGGGTTCCACAGGAAATGGAGAAAGTTTCTGATAGTCTTTCCTGGCTCACATCAAAATCAGAATTTTGTATATCGATAAACAGACAAGAAATGGAGCTAAAACCACTTTATAAAAATGAGTATAAACTGTGGTGGCACAGTTGTAATCCCAGTCCCAGAAGGCTGCAGCAGGAAGATTTTGAGCTCAAGAACAATAAGACCATGTCTCCAATGTCAACTACACCAGCTGAAAACAGTGACATGGAAGGTTTTCGAAGCAACAATCTCCCTTTGCCTTTACATCACCAAGAGTTGACATTTAAATAAAGTCAACAAAAAGGTAGCAAAAATACACAAAGACATTACATCATGGGAAGCTTGAACATGGGTTTTTAATTTCAGATTAGGTTTGTGAGCAATTGAAATGGCCCAGCAGGTAAAAACACCAGTCATGCAAGCCTGAAGAAGACCTGAGCCTACATTTCCACACTTACCAATATACACCTTGTAGACAGCACCAGCAGAGTAGGGTTGCCTTAGCAAAATACCTTGTTCTGAGTGGCTTTTAGGACAGCAATCTATTGTCTTAATGCTGGAGGCAGAAAATCCAAGATGTGGTGCTCGAGGCTTGGTTCTTCCTAAAGCCTCCTTGCATTCCTCAGCTCACAAACTGTTATCCTTGCTGCCTCTTTGCCTGGTTGCCTTCCTGCAGACATATTGATGTCCTTCTCCTTATGAAGATGCCTGTCATGCTGAAGTGGGTCCTCACTCTAAGGGCTTCGAGTTAGTTCAACCACCCCTGTAAAGAACTTACTTGCAAATTTGGTGGCATTCTAAGGTTCTGAAGGTTAAGCTGTTGGTGTAAGAATATGGGAGGGGCACAGTCCAGCTTATATTGGAGACCACATGCATGACTAGTTTATTTCTCTTTATATTAAAAATGACAACAGCCATTCATTCACAAATGCAAGGTTAAGGTAACAATGAACCTCATCCCTTTCCCCAGATACTGCATAAAAATCTCAAATAAAACTGTAGACTTTGCAGTAAAGATACTATAATGGCTAAAGAAACTCCATTTTGTGCTAGGCATCCATTTTGGTACCTTATAGCCCGAAGCTTGTCTCTTACTGTGAGGTAAGTTCCAGCAACACTGACTCCTTACCCTCACCCAGGAAGATGCAGCCATGGCCATCACTTGTGATATGACTAACTGCTGATTTTGGATTTTGTGACTTGCTTATGCAGACATGCAAGGACTATGGTGAGGTCACCTTGACCATCTAATCTGGGAAGAGCAGAACAGCTCTTGTGGTTTTGGTCTTTAAAAGCCCTTCCTTCACTCTCTAGGTGACAAGTCTCTGATTTGGGTTAAAGACTGTGGCTCTGCTGGCAGCTTTAATAATTTGACTAATTGTAACCTGAATTGAGTCTGGTGGTCTTTTCCTGTTGGTCTCAAACTCTGTAACAATGTCTTAACTTTCCTGCATCCTGGGGTCTTAAGAATGGCAATCCTGCCAGGAACCCCACAGGAACCACCCTGCCATTTCCTGAGGTTCCTTATCCACGCTTTAAAAGTAGCAACTTTAAACCCCACCCAAATCCTATACATGACTATCATAAAGACAATGACCTGTAACACTTCTTTGAGGGTCCACACACTAGTGTCTTCTTTCTTCCTCTTTTTCTTAATTTTTGTGCTTGAGTCGATGTAAAAACATCTTCAGCAAGCTCCAACTCTGCTTCAAACATTTAATAAATGTGAGTAGCTAAGCGTTCATAAAAGGATGACTGGGTAAGGATAATGTGTATGGAGAAATAGAGATTGTTTAGCCCTTAAAAAAAAAGAAATTGTTATTTGTGACAACTAGATGAGAATGGAAACACTATGCTAAGTGAAAAAAAAAAAAGCCAGACAAAGAAAGCTAAACGCTGCTTGCCTGGGGATTAGCTCTGCTCCAAAGACTCTCTTTCGTGTCCTACAGCCTGGCCTCGGGTTGAAAGGGCTGCAACCAAATCACTACAAACTCAAATCTTGGGAACTATGAGCCAAAGTAAACTTGACTTATTTAATTTGATTTTCTCAGGTGTTTTCATGGCAACAGAAAGCTGGTGACCACATTGGCGTGTACAAAAATCACTTTCTTTTTTCCCTCAATCGAAAGTTTGCAGTGCAATTTCTCTGCCTGAGTGCCCTGCACTCAGGCATGAAACCCGTCATTACCTCAGTCCATTCATTAACGTACTCTGCAGGGATCTCATGGGCCCCTGCTAGGAAGGTACTAGTGAATCAAACAGACACCCTTGGCCTTGCCACTTCTCTTGATGGAAGCCAGTTCTCTCTTTGATGTCCGTTCATGGGTTCTATAAATTCATTACTCATCTCATCTTTTTTTTTTTCACAATTCCTTGCAGAAAAACAAAACATTTTTCTCCTTACATCAATCTTACTTAACATCAGTGTAACAGCTACCAAGTTGATCCATGCCTCTACCTCTGTCTTATTCCACCCACCCTACCCAATCACTCCAGGTGATTAGCAACATTAGCTTTTAACTACTATCATTATCACCACTACTCATGGGAGACATTTGCCAGAGTATCAGGGCATTTTGAAGAAGAATAATCCCATTCAGGAGCTGAGGAGACCAGAGGCAATGTGTAGATATGAATTCCTACTTTGCCCCTTAAATGTTAAGTCCCCTTGGAAGTCACTTATCTCATCAAGACCTATTTGTTCCAGATAAAACATTAGAGTTAAAACTGTAACTAGTTCACAAGTTGCTGTGAAGGACATTGGCTCACACTTGTTTCTGCAGTTGAAAACTACAGCCATCAATACCGTCTGGTCCAAGTCTTAGATTATTTTCCACTCACAACCCCTTTCCACCCAATAAATTTTAAAGTGATCTTGGATATATAGATATAGAAAGTAGGTCTACAAATACTTTATTACTAATAAATAACAAACATTTTCAAGATAATTTTTTGTATACAGATAATTTTACCATTGAAGATAAAAGCAAGTTTGCATACTAATGAGATGAACATGCTTATCTTTGCATAAAGAATAAAATATTTGATGAATTCACAATACTTCAAGACACAAAGCATCTCCAAGAATTTTTCAGAGTTGATCAATATTTTTATTGTATAATTGCCAATGGTCAGAAGACAGTTTTGCATCAATGTACATTACAATATAAAGGTATGCTTCAGGACATTTCAGAAATTATTAGAGACTCCCAAGTCAACATTTATTAACCTTTTTTATGAAACTCAAATTAGCCTAACAAATAGCAATTTTAAAAGCCAAACATTCTAGCATAGTATAATCCAATCCGATTTGGTATTTATATACTGAGAAATGGTCATAGGAAAGTATTAAAGTTATTTATTTTCTGCAATTATACCATGTTTCTATAAGAGACAAAAATTTTGTATATGTATTCAAACACTGCAGTTCATGACATATAATAGTCTAGAGTCTGAACTAGCAGATTTCAGGCAGTATTTTTTGTGTTACTTGGCATGAAGTCATGTCCATACAAAGCACATATGTTGTGTGTACAGCACCACAGTTCCAGTGAAACTACACAACACCACATGGGAAGCACTGTTAGAAACACCATGGGTTCAGGAAGTATTTGGTTTTGAATTAAGTTTTGGATATCACAAGTTCAGAAATATTTTATTGTTTCTATTTTGTGTAATTCCAACATTCAGTTATGAATCACAACCCACAGCTTAAGAAACTGGTGTCTAGTCTACTAGCACGTGTTCATGACATGATTAGTGTGCAAAGCACTGTGTCTGCTGCCTGCCATGCAGTCACTCATTTCACTTCTGTTCTCAGTATTTGCTGTGTGACCCTTGGGACAAGTCTATTTATTTTGTTCCTCTCCACTCCCCCTACTCTCGCTTCTCTCTCTTATTCATTAGTTATTTTTCATGTAGAAGTGTGTGTGTGTATGTGTGTGTGTGTGTGTAGGTGTGCATATACCAGTGTGTACACACAGAGGTCAGAGGTCGATGTGTGATGTCTTCCTCTGTTATACCTGAGTATTTTTGAGACAGTATCCTTGCTGAAGTTGGGACTCCCTGTTTTAACTAGACTTGCCGGCCGGTGAGCTTCAGGGAACATCCTGTCTCTTCACCCAGCACTAATGTTACAGGAGCATATTAGCACATCTGGCTTTTATCTGAGACCCTCACGCCTGCTCAGTAATAATTTTACCCCTGGAGCCATCTCCCCAGCCCAGGACAGGTTTTGTTTTAATTTTATAGTGTGGTGTTGCAAGGAATGAAGGTGACGGTGTGGCAGCTGACAGGGCTGGGACACCAAGTCGTCCATACCTGTGGTGCTGTGTGCCTCTTGCCTGCCACACAACTGCAGCTCTTTCACAGGGGTTCCACAAGGGCCTCCCTCACGTCCTTCCTGAGCAGCTGCCAGGGAGGCGGGATTCGGTCTTAGATTTGCTCTATTTTTCTCATAATAATGAGCCACATTCAGAAACCCCTTGCTCAGTGAATGGGTTACCTGTAACACCCCTTGTCTATAAAGGCTCACACTCTTCACATATAGTGTGATCTAGAAGGTTCCTAGAGTGGCCTTTCTGCTTCGGTTTACACGGCATGGATTAGTTTACATTAGTTACTGCTCTGCAAACATACCTGACAAAGCAGCTGGGAGAGGAGAGTTGACTTCAGTTTGGGGATCTGTCCATCCTGCAGGAGGAGGTGGCTTGGAGCAGGAAGTTGAGTCAGCCGTCACACTGCATCTCATAAGAAGCAAAGATGGCGTGTGCTCACGCTTGACTCTCTTCCTTTTCACTCAGTCTGGAGTCTCAGCCCATAAAGTGATGCTCCAGTTAGGGCAGGTCTTCCCACTTCAGTTAGGCTAATCCAGAAATGCTCTCGCAGGCGTGCCTAGAGGTTTGTCTCCATAGTGATGCTGCATTTCCCGTCACACCAGACTTGAAGAGTGAAGTTATTCATTTCTGCCTCTGCAGTTACATTGAACGCAGAGCATCTAAATTTGTCTAATGTCTAATTTTCCCATCTCTTCTCCTAGAGAATATAAGCATTCGGGGAGTCTAAAGAAACCTGCAGTGGAAGTGAACAATCCTTCAGTTCTGTGTCAAGAAAGACTCAAAAAGAGTTAGATTCATCTTGGATTCAATGTATACAATCAGCAATTATATTTCAGCTAATGAATCTCAGAAGTAAAGATCATTAACATCCTGCCTTTTTTTTGCAGAAAATAAAATGGATTGGCATGACTCCATCTTTCAAATCCTCTATTGATATAATTACTAAATGCAAATATTTGTGAGTTGAACAGAGAATGTTCAGCATCACTTAAACTAGCCTCAACAACAGAAACAGGAGACAGAGAATCACAAGTGCCCCATTAATCATTTGCTTACCTCGAATATGTAAGAAATAATGAGAGTCTGAGATGTGTCCTTATTAACTGACTCAGTACATGGAAGCAGTATCAAGGGTCAAACAGTTGCAATTGCTTTTCAGCTGCATTGAAAATACAATAAAAGAATGTCTCTGTCTCCTTGATTGTATATATACAATAATATGCACATCCATTTACATCCTTATGTTCTTTAAGTTTATGTTCCTATATATTAATATTTAAGTATATACATGTATATTTTTGAATACACACAGTCCCCCCTTTGGCCTGGGTAATAGTTTTATTCAAATTAGTGAATCTAATGCTGAGTATGTTTCTTTTCCTTTTCAATATCTTTTTGAGAAAAAAATATCCTGGCGGTATTTTTGACAGCAACTGTTAAGGCTGGCTTCCTGTCACCAACTCTTTAGCTTTATTTTGCTGTGTTAAATTTTAATCCGCCGAATTGAAAATAAAATTTCTCAAGTAAACCCATACATGGAGCTAAATATGAAACAGATCATAGCAAAGTGGTTAGAACTACAGCTTTCCTTATGGATGAGCGTCTAGACCCCTCCTCCTCTTCCCTCAGGACCCCCTACACAGACAGGAAGATGTTCATGGAGCCTCAGGATCTGCAGCACTCTGTTTGAAGAGCTCGAGCCCCTTGTTCTCAAAGGTTATTCGAAGCTCTGGCTTCTATTTTTCTGTAATTTGTGAATCTTTTGGTGGAAACTGCCAAGTAAACTATCAATCACCCAGATGAGCACTTGCTGATTGGCCAGTACACTGTGCTTCAGATCACATGATCTGGGTCGGTAGCCAGCTGTCTGCAGTCAGCAAGCCTTCTCATTTGTTTCCTGTGAACCCTGGTTTTAAGCAATGACCACCCCACTTTGTGTTCTTGAACACATTGCTACCAGAATCTCCAAAGCAATTCTTGCCACTTATCTTTATTTTTAAAAAATAAATTACAATTAACCACACAAGTTCCTCATTTCAACTTATTTAGGTCACTTCAGGTCATTGTTTCCATCATCAGACAAATTAATTTTTTCTCCAACCTAACATCATTTATGAGAATAATGGGGGTAAGATCTTTAATACTGAGTGTCCAAGTCTTCTCTAATGCCTACTCAATCACCATCTTCAATGGCGAACACAGCTAGCTTTAGCTTCCAATGCTTCCCAGCTGATTCAGATGCACTTCAAGAGTAACAAACACAAGTCACTGTCAGCAGTGCCGGACCAAGGACAGACACCTATAGACGAGGCTTAATTTTACCCCAGAAACCAGTTAATGAATCACTGACTCTAGCCTCTTCTAACTTACTTTTATCTGTATTGAAAACAATTACATGAGAGACTTTTCTACAAAACTTTAATTATATCAAGATTTCCTTCTTAATTTTTTTAAATTTAAGTCTACATTTTCCTGAGGCTGTGAAACTGATAGTTTTCTTTCTTCACTGTGTGTTCATAAGCCATCTATCTGACTATCTGGCTCTGGATTGGGTACTGTCAATGCACACTGATATTAAGCTCTACCTGTATGTAGTCCTAATCACTTCTGCCTCTAGCTCCCCCTGTTAAAAATCATCAAAGCGAGGTGCTGTCTGAATACTGTGCACAGCAGAGCAGTACTTCCAATGCAGAGCCTGTGGGTTTATTCCCAGTTTGCCCATCTCACCTTTACAGTATCTCTATATTCTTAGCAGCAGTCTATATTGCATTTCCAGGCTAGTATTTATATCCTTTGACAGAATAAATGAAGGAAAGAAGTGTGAGAAAACTCTGGCAAAGGCTGCCTTCAGTGCTATGTTCTCACCTCTCTAAATCAAGAACCCTGAACTTTCAGGGATGTGATTTGTTTTCAGCAATAATTTTTTTCTTCTTACTTAATATTTCTCTTTATTATAATATATAACTTTCTCAGCTGATGAAGTCAATGAATGTGTGCAGAAGGCTATAACTAGTCTAGGTGGAAGGAAATAGGATTATCTGAACTCTAGAGCATGTTTACTGACACCTCCTCATCTGAACTTGGCATAAAGGCAAAGACTTCATTCATGTCTGCATTCTCAGTATCAAGAGGAGTGGTTCTCAACCTTCCTAATGCTGTGACCCTTTAATACAGTTCCTCATGTTGTGGTGACCCTCAACCATAAAATTTTTTTGCTACATCATAACTGTAATTCTGCTACTGTCATGAATAGTAATGCAAATACCTGATATACATGATAGCTGATATGTGACCCCAAAGGAGTTATGACCCACAGGCTGAGAACTGCTGATCTAGACATGCTTGAATGCCTAGCTAAGCCTGTTGTCACATGATGACAACATATTTCACCTCAGTTGATCCCTACACTACCTCCAATAAGTACATATCATCCTCTGCTTTATGAGTGAGGAAAATAATCACGGTACAGAGCATCTTGCATGTCACTGAAATAGCCCATCTCAAAGCCACAACTCACATTCATATATTCTACCTGCCAAGTCCTGAATACAAATCACTGTCTCTACATCAAAGGACAGAGACAACTGAGTTTGTTGTGCTGCTCAGCCTCCCATCAGCCATGGCCCTTAAGACAGTCCTGGATACTCACAGCAACCTAGTCTTCTCATTCAAAGGAAAAAAAATACTGGTTATTAGACTTGTTCACCTTTGGTCTGCTTTAGCACACTCAGTGGAAAAATAACTGTGAAGTGCAGCCCAATGGATGAGGCAATCATCACCTCTCAAATCTTCCCCAGGAGCAAACATCGAAACACCAAGGGCTGATACTTGCTACAGAAACCTAGATGTTGTGCTAAACTGTGCTTTGAAAATTGAAGGATTATGTAACAATTGAGTGTGATTATAAAGAACGATGCTGGCTTCCAATAATTAAGTACCAAGGAACATTACTCAGAATGGTATAAAAAACCAAAAGTGATATTAAAAGCCATTGCATAAGAATATCATAGAAATTCTCATGTCGTACTTACTATTCATGGAAGCACTTAGTGATCCCATTGCTGTTGGTACTGTCATTTTTGGAATCATTCAGATAATGCCCTTTGCTCCCCTCGCAAATGTACCTTATTATTTTTCTAATAGGAGGCTTACGGTGTGTAGAGTAATTTTAGAATCCAGAACTAGGACTAATAGATATTCGAGAATTGAATAATTATATTGGCATCTATGGCTAGAGGCTGAGGAATCTCCACTCACTGGGTCCCTGCATACACGTCAACTGCTCCTGGAGGCCCTCCTTATTCCTTACTTCTCTTAACAAGGCTGGATAGAATCCTTGCTCAGCACCAGCACTTTATCACTGTAGCACATGTCACAGTTGTGATTCTAGAGTAGATGTTTGTTTGGTTACTCAGTGCAGCTGACACCAGACTTCATGGTTCTTAACATAAATGTAAGTCTATTGGTTCATTATATTTATCCCAGAAGTTTGGCAACATGTAGGTGTCAGGTTTAGCAATATGGTACGGTCCTATGCTTTTTTTTTTTTTTTTTAATGAACCCACACATAAAGCTAGAATGAATAAACAACTGTACTCTCCACAGAGGGAATCCTGCTATCAAGAATGGTGATATCTAGTTCATGCTTGCCTGGCCAATATCAGTCAAAGAACATTAACATCTTGCTTGGATCATGATAGGCTCAGGGACACTGCATTGCAAAAAGCTGCCAATCAAAGGTTTTCTTCTTACCCCCTTAATGTGTCTGTCACATTAGAGAATGTTCTTTATACACTCACACAGGGATGTGGCTTCACTGTAGCTTCACCTCCTGAACCATCTCTGCTTGTGTTGGCATGGGAAAGATGGGGGAACTGATCCTTAGGGCTTCCTTCTGTCTAGATGAGGAGGTACCACTGTCAAAGGATAAGGAGATAGGAGAGCGGGTACCTCTTCTTTACTGACTTTAAAGAGTTGCATGTGGCAAGCACTAGTAATATTTAAACATCTCCAAAGCAATCATTAGAAATAGTCTAATAATACCCATTTTAATTGAGTTGTCCTATAAGGCTACCAATTGCTTGTTTCTCAAAACAATACAGCGTCTATATTTCTTCCAGTGTGTGTGTGTAGAGGAAGATATAGCTGCCCTTTCAAGGAAGTTACACCCCCAAGCCCATAGTTCCCTTTTGTATAGTCTACATGGCAGGCTTCCTGCAGCCTTTTACATTAGCTCCATTCCTTATGTCCCCCATGGCAGGAGCCCCACAGCATTGCATACCTCTTCATGTAAATCTTCTCTGGCAGTCAAGTGCAAACAACGCTTGCTGTGGTGATTGGCGTCCTTTCTTTGTTCTCCTGGTGAGGTCACTCAACCTTCCTTCACAAAATCTAAATGCCTCATTTCCCACAGTCTTAGAGTGTACCCTCATTTTCCCCTGGTCAAGGGATGGGTATCAGATAACACACAGGGACAGGAAAATCTCTGAGATGGAATAGAAAATTGGTGCTGTATAACCTAGACATGGCCCTCCAAGCCATTCGCTGATTTATTCCAGTGTTTACTGGCTGTTTGTCATGTACCAGCAATCTACCCTGTGCCTTGTTGGGTTTATATTCCACAGATAAACACAGACATGTCGTGTGTGGCCCTGGATATCAGTAAGCCTTGTAGACAGAAAGAAAGAGGTTCTGCATGGCTTAAGGTAGGTGGAAATGCCTCTTGGAAGGCTGATCCCAGACATGTGAACATCATGTGAACAGTGTTCTAGGTCAAAGAGAGACAGGAAGCACCAGTGTCCTGAGAAACGGATAAGCTTCGTTGAAGGGAATCAAGTAGGTTAATGAACACACCTCAGGTAGAATGCGCTCAGTACATTTGGAGACCTATCCAGGGTCCTGAAATTGTTGTAGGCCAAGATCAAGACTGTTAGGTTTTATTTTTAGTGTAACAGAAAGTCATTAGTGGATTCAAGGAGAATAGGTATGTTTCAATTCTGTTTTTTTAAATTTATTTTTCTGGTTGCCACATGAAGAAGAGTGCTGTGACAAGGTTAAGCACTGGAACTGGGAGAAAGGGATTGCTGCAAAGGCTCAGGAAGGCATCTCTGCTGTGGGCCACATTGGAAGTGAAACGTCCACAGAGCTGGAATGTGGGATGAAGTAACAAGGGAAAGACTTTGCTGAGGAATTGGATGTGGATGTGAGGAGACAGCAAGGAGGCTGGTGAGGTTTTAGGTGATAGTAATTGGGAATAAGAAGTGCATTCATAAAAAAGAAATTGATGGAGTTTGGGGGGATGCTAGAGAATTTTGTTTTGTAAATATTAATAATGAAGTACCTACTGTCTATTTAGCTGGAGAG